TACTTTGGAGACAAGAGACTTGTACATGATTATATTGAATTTCATCCCTTTTTTGCACCATGAGTTTTATTTTCTTTAATGAGAACAAGAAATTTGTAATTGTCTATGAAAACGTGGTTTTGATCATCAAAAAAAAAAGAAAAAGAAACATTTTAAAAAATCACTTTTTTCACACCTATCCTATCCATCCTCGGAGGGATTCATTCACACAAACCCAAGAACAACACTTCTGCACTTTCCCTTTAGCTACTCCATTAGAATAGTGAGGTGATGTCGTTTGAACCAAAGGTCATTCGCCAAAAGGAAAAAAAAAATCCCTTTTTACAACAATCCAATATATATCTCTACCAAACAAGGTTTTTTTTGGAAAAAATATTGTAATTAATCATCGAAAGTTAATTATGTCAACACGCAAAGATTTTTTTTTTCTTTCGTAGCCTAAAGTCCACTAAGAATAAATAATGCAACCCACACGTTTATTCACTAAGTCCAAAATGTTTGCCTTATTTAGAAAAAGAAAAAGAAAAAGAAGTCCATAATGCTTTGACTGTTATGTGAAACATAAATAATAAACGTGAGCCATGTCCAAAGTTTTTTTTTTTTTTTTACACAGGCACATATTCTTTCGCCATATGTAAAAAAAATTACTCTTAGAGGGAGTTTGGCAAACCCCTAAAACACTTAAAAAAATGTTTTTATTCAAATCAAAATAAATTTTTTTCATAAATTTGTCTCCTAAAATTATTTCTGAAAAACTAATTCAAACACACTCTTTTACAATTCTATTTCTACTTTATCTTTCTGCTTTGTAAAACTCTCGTTTTCTTGATATTATTTTGTCTTACCCTTAACACTGTTTGATATATATATATATATATATTTTCATGATAACAAACATGAAAGCTATTAATAATAACTATATGGAATAAAGATTTTATAATAAGTGCATTGTTTCATAGCAAATATAGAATGATAAATATGTGGAACAATATATTAAAAGTGATTAATTAATAAGGTGAGTATACAAATATTCTTGAATCGAAGAATAAGAATTCCTTGGAAAAGATGAGTAGTCAAATAAGTAAAGCTTGGTAGATTTCAACAAAGTTTTCCAGAAACTATTTTTCAATACAAGTATAAACGAATCCTCTTTTAGTTGTGGAATAAGATTTTCTAGAGAGCACAAAACCAAAAGCGAGAGGAAGAACACTCTAAATGATGAATAGCATTAAGTAGAAGAATGTTGAAGTTCTTGGGTACAGCGGTTTCTTTTTCGTGTTGTGCTTTTTCTCCCACTATTCACAGGTAGTCTGGTAATAACATTGATTTGGGTGATTTTCCAATGGGGCTTGACGCTGTTGGTGGAAAATCATATGGTTTTTAGTTTTTTGTTTCATCTTTTTTTAACGGGAAAATGACACATAAAGAAGCTTAAAAATATGAAATGTCAATTTGGAAAGCTAAAGAAATGTAATTACAGAGAGGGAACTCCTTCCCAAATTGGAATTTTGAAATTTAGTAAAATGACAAGAATGCCTTTTGCCTTTTTTTTTTTCTAAAGACCTCAGCCCCTTGCAGGTGACCGGCGACTGGAAGCCACCATCGACGATCGGCTGTTGAAGACCGGCGGCCGCCTCTGGCCACCAATGCCGGCCACCAGTGTGGTGGCTGTAGGTGAAGTTTTTTTGTGACACTATTTTTTTTGAATGGGATAATATTGGTTCAAAGTGGCGAGAGTGGGATTTGATCCCACAACCCCTTGGCCACTTGGACCAACAAAAAGAAAAATAGCGATTGCGTTATCAAAGATTTCTTAACTTTATAATGCAACCAAAAATATAAGTTGACTCTTTTACTGTGACTCTAGCTGGTGACAATAATTTACCTAAGGATGACAAGTCTTAATTAAGAAATAACAAATCTAAATTTGATATTAACAAAGCAACTTTTCCTTATACATAACAAGTAGTAGCATGTACATTAATTAAAAATGACCATAATTTATTTTAAAATGATATGTCTTTACTTGAAAATGACAAGTCTAAACTTGATATTAATAAAACAACTTTTCCTTATACATAACAAGAAATAGTATGTACGTTAATTAAAAATGACTATAATTTATTATCAAATGCTAAAATACGGAATTAACATATTTTCATTTAGAGCTCTGAGAGAAAACTCCCTTTCTCTGTACTTCAAACACTATAACATATGTTTTTGTAAGATAGAGAGGAGAGTTTTCCAAACGTGCTTAAGATTCATCTATCACTTCTTTAAGAGAAGAAATATTCAATCTTTATTATCATTATCAGATTGTATCCTTACGGTGTGTAACGGAGAGTATTTACATCAATGTGAGGTTGCTGTTGAATAGACTGATTAGTCTAAGGATTGTAAGTGGTGTCACAAGTGCCCAGATCAAACTTGTGGTTGTAGTGGTTCTCAAGTACTCGTGTTAAACTTGAGGGAGATAGTGGATTGAAAATTTCAGGAGGAGTCTGGGAACTAGATGTAGGTCAGTGAGGACCGAACCAGGATAAATCACAGTTTGCATCTTCTCTTCCTTTACCTTGTTATATTTCCAACTAAACTATTTTACTGCTGTGATTATGCTTATGTTAATTCATTGTTTTTATACTCAGAATTTCTTATGAATTTCATTATATTGTGAAAAGGTTTTTAATTTTAATTAACACCCAATTCAGCCCCTCTTGGATGATCAGCCATTCTTACAGTGATAATTGTGAATGTTATGATTTTTGCAAGTAGGCACTTACTTGACACCTCCTAAGCACTTACTTGTATGCCTAATGAATAGGATTGTTGGTTACTGAGTCTTTTGTCTCACCCATGGTTTAATATTTTCAAGTAATAGCTTTAGGGTTGGTCTATTAGGGAAGGCGATAGAAGCTTAGCTATCAAGTTTATCTTGCATAGCTTCATTTTTGTCATGAGATGAGTATTTGTATCTTGTCACATATAGTTCTTTTTACATACTCTGATTTATCTAAGACTGATTATTCTAGTTACATTTGTTGCCAGATTGCATGCTGGTAGAAGGCTAGAGGTTTCTAGGGGTACTTGCTTGTGTTTGTGAGTTGTGAATCCATAATAACTTTTGAAAGTAGTTGATTACTGTTGGTTTGAAAGAATTTTGTAGAGAAAATATCATGTTATGGGCTTAGAGTTAAATGTGACGTTTTGGGCTTCCAAGACCTAATTATTATGAAATATTATTAATTATGGTTTTCATACAATTTGTTTAGTAAAACTTTTATAATTATGATATATATTTTGAATGAGTAGTTGAAGTCTTTTATATTATGGTTAACATTTCTAGCGAATCAAATTTCTTTTTATAACCATGGTAGCCTTTTCAAAAATTATACTAAGATTCTTTTCCAAATCGAACCTATCCACTGACCGGTTTACCAATCGGGCTAGTCCAAACCGATTTTTTGTTCACTGTGTAATATACCTCATGTCCTTAATATAATAACTAGTTTAACTTTTAATTTGATTCTAAATATAAGTTCTCAATATACTATTTTTTCTCTTATATTTATTCATTTTTTCAAAGATAGTACTTGTAGTTGTACTAATTATACATGTTAAATGATTAATCAAATGAAAATTAATTAGCAAGGGTATTTTAGGCAAGACAACACCTATTTATTACAAATGACTAACTTAACTAATTTTTTTTAATTTATACAAATTAGTCAACTAACTCTTATATTAAGAATATAAGGTAGTATGTATTTTTGGTTCATTGAACGTAACTGCTTAATAATATCTTCCTGAATTAAAAAAAAATACATATCTTAAAAATATCTTGAAATTTGAGCATTATTGTAACATTCTGAATTTCTAAATCCTGGCCTAAAATATAATACTAGTTTCAGGTTTAGAGTAGACTTTGGAGGCCGTGAAAAATATTTTCTCTTTAGTCTTAAATGTAAAAGATAGATAAAAAAAATAGTTAATTTAATTTTGTTTGTTATAAATGTGTTCTTTTGTTAAAAAAAGTATTGATTTTTTTAAACTATTCTACTTAATTATTATTCCTATTAGTAGAAATTACATTTAATACATCAATAGGGAGAGTTTTGAGGGGGGAAATCACAAATTTAAGAAACAAAATGAATTGATATTTTATATTTATAATTAAAGTTACCAATAGTTGGTTTTTATATTTAGGACAGAGGGAGTAATAAATATAAAAGCAGTTAACAATAACAATGGAATAATTATTTTATAAATCAATTCAATTAATTTTATTGAGGATTAGAATCTCCAAAAGCACTTATTCACCTAATTTAAGACAAAAAATTGTTTTTGAAAAATTCTACTGGCTATTTCAAAAAAAATAAACCCTTAGATTGTTTCAAAGCAAATATAGAATGATAAATGCGGAACAATAAATGTTCGATGTTTAATATACACATTGATTATGAGAAAAATTGATTAAAAATATAAAATTTTAATATACTGTGATATTTTTTATGATTAAAATCTTAACCGGTCAAGTTCACTCTTAACTCATCAACATTGATTTGAGAAAAATGTGTTTTTGCCTTTTGTGAAAATCTTAAATAGTTAAACTTCAATCTTAATGCGTCACCATTGAGTTTCATGAAAAAGTTGCTGTTCTGGTTTAAACCCATAAAGCATTAACTTTAATCTCACCCTTCAAGTGAAGTCGCATGTGATATTATCTTAAAACTAATAATCTCAACTAATCAACTGAAATATAATAATACCATGCACAAAATGCATTAAGATCTAAAGTACCACTTTGGTTCTTAATATAAATCATTTCTAACTCATTCTTGTATACCGAATAATGCATTAAATTGGCAAGAATTTCTAATTTTATCCTCATTGAAGTTTTCTCTCTCTCTCTACAGTTACAAATCATTCTTATATCTCTTCTTTCTTTTTTTCTTTTCAATGAGAATTAAATAAGGATAACATCCAAAAAAACAAATATTAAATATACTATAAGTGACTTATATTTAAATCCAAAACTTCCCCTTACACGTGAGGATCAGAGTTGTATTTTTACTTGGGAGATTAAAGCTAAGAAATGAAATAAATACAGTACAAGACAAATCAACTGAATTCTACTTTAACATTAAACCCCCTTACCTCCAAAATACATGCCAAAAACACGCCCCTACTTCAAATTAGAAATGCTCCTGGTTATCCTCCTGAAGCCAAAGTTAGCAACATCCTCTGATTTCTTTTGCTTGGGAACGCTTGACCTAAGGTATTTTTTCTTTTTCTCCGAGGAATCTGGGGCTCTATTGGTTCTTTTTCCAGGAAGGCCTTCACTTCTTGACTTGAAGGAATTTATACTTTTCCCAGGCTGAAGACCAAGGTTCGGATTTTCACCTTGTGCTTCAAGTACAACATTTGAGACGCCATTTTCAATATTGTGCATCTGATCATCTTGAGATCTTCCAGCTGGATGACTCATTTTAGAAATGCTTCTGGTTATCCTCCTGCAGTAGACCTTACCAGCATCCTCTGATTTCTTCTGCTTATGAACACTTGATCTTGGGTTGTTTTTCATTTTCTCTGAGGAATCTGGGGTTTTATCGGTTCTTTTTTCGGGAAGGCCTACACTTGACTTGAGGGGATTCATATTCATCCCAGATTGAAGACCAGAGTTTGGATTTTCACCATATGCTACAAGCATAGCATCTGAGAGGCCATTTTCAATATTGTGCATCTGGTCACCCTGTAGGTTAGATGTCCCAAGAACTGTATCCCCCGCACCTTGGCATCCCTTGGTGTTCATTCTAATGTTTCTTTCCCTGTTACAACCAGGCACAGATTGCTCTGAAATATTCTGCGGAGATGTTCCTACTGAATCATTTAACAATTTATTCAGCAGCCAAGAACAATTCAGATCTCCTTTATTGGTTAAAAGATCCACGATCTCGCCAGCATTCTTCAGTAGATTAGTACTTAAATCGTCAGCCGCAGTATTCTCATTGTTATGTTTTCCGCCAACAGCAAAAGATATGTACTCTTCCCAGTCATGTGGAAATCCCAACTGGAAACGTCTGCATACCTGCAACAAGTTCGAAGGATCAAAGGAAATTATCTGGGCAATATTGATAAAAAAGTCATTGAACATCTCGTAATTCCTCAGTAGTCTTGTTATTAATTATTGACCATCCAGATAAATCCCATTAACTTAATATGTTGGAGTGATATGGGAAAGGGATGCTACATAAAAATAGACTATATGTTTAAGACAGCTATTCTAATTATAATTTAACATACCATACAATCCCGTTAAGAGGAAAGGTTTAGTAATTATAATTTCAAGTGACATTTAGTGTGTCGATGTCTTGCGTTTTCAAGTTATTTCCTCGGACAGTAATTTTTTTCAATACTTGAAAGCCCATCTTGATAAAACACATCAGGATTCAAATATATCACACACACACACACACACACTCTTGTCACTTGTTATACCCAATTATATTCTGAAAGAGTCCTTGGGGGCTTGGAAATTAAGTTCCCATGTACCAGGTAGAAAAACGATTGAATGTGCGTGGTTCAAGGTGTGTAATCATGCAAAGTAACTTAAAGATAATAATGATATTTTATTAACCATGGGCATTATCTTCAAGTGTATAATTTTATTATGGGGAAATCGTTTGCTCAATAAAAATGAGCCACAGAACTTTCATGCCTGGCATATAAGAAAAAGAAGATACAAGGAGTTTTCTATTCTATAGCACGTAGAGGGGAGAAAACTCCATTTAAACAAAGTGATTATCTTATCCAATTCTTTCTAATAGTATGAAATCTCCACAGATACCAGAACTGAAATGTAGGAACAAAAAATTCAGCTCACAAATCAAAAAACCCACTGCCATAGCTAAAATACTGGAACAAGGCTTCTCAGCCTAGAAACGATATAGTATGAGTAATCAAGTTTGCATCACAACATAGTCTAAGTCGTATAAAAACTTATTGTTTGGGTGTTGTACATGAATTGAAGAAAAATAAACTGTGAATTCCATAACATTAAAAAAAATATATATCTAGAAGGCGTTCCTCTACCAGGACAGGCAGCCACGCAGCTGTTCTCACTGTTCACCCTAATCCAACCCCATGACTTGGAAAGTATATTTGGAAAACCATTACTAAATTATCTTTGCTTTTAAAAGTATCTAGATAAAATTCAACACCATAGACGAGGATCCACAAAATTACAAGTAGCATCAGATCCAAAAAATCTGATAAGAACAAGACAAAAGCAAAGAAATTATTCATACCACTGCTAAAAATCCCTTAACTCTTAGGAAAGTAACACTCCCCCATTAGAACCTTCCTTGGCATTAGTGTCGCCAAGAAGAAACCATTCATTTGTCAAATGAACATCATCTCATTCAGTCGCATTGACAACCAACCCTGGGCAGTTTTTCATTTGCTAAATAAAGATTATCTGTCACAAAAAATGACCATTATCTTATCGTGTTGCACTCACAGATAACCTTGATATAACTATATGCATTGTCATAAACTGTAGTCACCCTCAGGCTACCATTTGCAGAAACTCTGTATATTCCGTAACTTACAGATGACAGGGTGCTCTATCATTGGCTAGCACCCAGTTCGTGCACCTTCCTGAGAAAAAGGTTGGTCTAAACTCACAGAAGATAAGGTGCTTTATGGCTAGAATACATAAAGTAAATCTCAACCTCAGAAAAGGTTGGTCTCAACCCTTAGATGCTAAAGCGCTTTATAATTGGCTAGAATCCTGTAAGTGCATCTTCCTGAGAAAAGCTCGGTCTTAACCCATGGAGTCAGAAAGTTATAATATTCTCTGCATGGGAAGGGGCTTAAAAATTATACATTAGGATTTTCAGAACGCAGATACACTGTTATGCTAACAAGTAAAGACTTCATGCTAGCACAATAGTCTTCCCATGTTGATATTATTCAAAGAAACTGTGCCAAACAAAATTAAACATTTATCCGGGCATCATGCCAACAATGATATTCAAAATTGTAAAGTCAACAGTTTCTATTATCAGGTGAAAATAACAAGAAATATCAAATTAAAGTCTACATACCTCAAATGAAAAGCCATTTTCATTTGTGCGAGACTTGTTTATGAAACCGGTGATAATAAATGTGATCCCTTCTTGCGTTTCAAGCACATTGGTCTCATGTCTCTTTGCAATAGTTGAAGAGGAAATGACTCTTTCCCCAAGCCTCCTGTAGTAGAGGGGAGAAACAAGAAGCTTTGTAAAAACTTATGAAGCAAATGACTCAGATGCTAGTATATGGAAATGGCATAATCATGATACCCAAAAATAGCTGCACCACCCATACTTTCAGTACAGGCACAAAAAATGATAGTGATCACAATTTAACCTAACAGAACAAGTCCAAATCGTTTGCAACTACATTCATAGAACCATATTTCATAAGATCTATTTTATGATATTACTCTAAGACTTAATCCAATAAAATTACAGTAATTGGAATTTTAACAAAGCATGTAAAATATATTTTTCTTTTACGACATTACACATTCTTCTGGCCCGTTCATCGCCATGAAAGGAAAAAATTTCATCATGCTGCAATTTGATGGGCCTAGGGGGTTGTTGGGCTGAGTTGATCAAAGGAGGACTAAGAGGGGAGACTAACATAAGGAAAGACAGCCCATGACTATCACAAGCAATGAGGGGCAGATTGGCAGAATGGTCACATTAGGGGGGTAACAAACCATCTGACAATGTCAGAGTAGTGGAGAGAGCATAAGGGGATGACAGCTAAAACACAAGAGAGAGTTTATGAAACATTACAGAGGAAAGAAAAACAAATGCATGATACTCACACAATATAACTCTCCATTCTACACACAGAGCTCCACTTGGGCAAAAACTGCAGCACCCTATTTTTCTCAAGATTGTGGTTACTCTAGTCTGTTTCATTTCCAAAAATAACAGTATAACTTATCAGTCCAGGTAGAGTTCCTAGGTTGTTTCCCTTTTCCAAAAATTTCACCTTTGAAGACATATACTCCTCAAAAGCATACACATACACACGCAAACGCAAACAAATATATATAAAGAGTGAAATTAATCCCTTACTCCATTGAAGCAACTCCTCCCACAGCTAAACCTTTTCCTTGAGGTTTCACCAGCCACCAATCATGTAAGAAAATCTTGAAAAATGAACAATAAATAATTAGGAATCCAAAACACAAAAAAGCAAAAGGAAAGGTAAGAAAGAAAACAGCTTCTTAGTATATTGCACAAGTGGAAATAGATCGTTCATACAGTTTTGTATTGTGAGGAGGAAATGCTCTTCTTGTTAGAGATTGGGGATGTAGTTGCATGGGCTTTAAGGCTTGAGCCTGAATCCAAATTAGGTGATTTTAATGTAAACACAGGCAGATTCGGAATTCTCTTCCTCACCATTCTGAAGTAAAGAACAGAACAAATTCAGGCGTAAACAGAAATTCCGTTTATTGAAATATTAAAAAAAAAAATCAATTCAATTCCAATTGAACAAACCTGAAGAGACAGAATAAATAAGGATACAACAGAGCCAAACAAAAAATGAAGAGACAATTAGTCGTGGAAACAATGCAGTATCGCTTCCTGTATAAAATTCTAAATGTTTATCATTGGACCCACAAAGCTTGAAATCCAGAATTCCTTCCATCCTGTACAGTTTCTGTGATTAACACATTGACTTACAATGCCTAAAGACGATTCAAAATAAAAAGGACGAACCTTATAAAGCTTAGTAAACATTTCCATGTCCATTTTGGCTATAATAATTAAATTGTAGTTCAAAGAAGTTGAAGGAAAAGGCAAAAGTTAACACTTAAAAACTGCAGGTTGCATTATTGCGAATCACATATTAGAACACTCAAAAGAACTATGCATCAAATAAAAAAGCAATTGCAAATTACCTTGAATTGTAAATCAACAACAAGATGACATTGTCAGTGAACAGCTGCAAATCGACCAAACAATGAAAGCAGATTGATACTTCGAGCTCAGCATTTCAGTGTTGAGATATTCATGAGAGAATCAAATGTTAATATTCCAAGATCCTAACTATGCCCAAATTCAGCAAAGTATTTTTTTTTTTAAAAAAAAAAAAAGCAACTCTCCAGGCTTCAGACCATCGTATCTTTCTCCTATCTAAATGCCGGAATAATCCAAAATAACTCATTTCCACAAACCACCAAATCAATTCACGAAAGAATACAGTGAAGAAGGGAGACCTAAAATCATTTCCTCAAGCACGACAAGGAAACAAAGAGGGGAATGGGGCTGACAGAAGAAGAGGGAGAAAGGAAGTCTTACTGGTGTGAGTGAAATCGGGATTCGCCCTCAACAATCAATATTGTGTGCCAATGCTAACAGCGAAGCAAGAGAGAAGCAGAACGGGGTGCGACGAGGAGCAGAGAAAGCCTGACCCGCGAAAGAGCGCGAGGGAATGAATTGGCTGGTTGGCGGGAGAAAATAAAGAAATTTGCCTTACAGGGAAAAGGTGACCCTGTGTTCGGTTGGGAGAGGAGGGGAGCAGAGGTATTTCCAAACTGGTTTAATTACATCTAACATTTTAAAATATTTTTTTAATTATATCTAATACTGTGAAATAATTTGTGATGTATTCAGTATTCTGAAATATTTTTCAGATAGCATTTTAAAATATTTTGTGATACAATTTTATTTCAAAAGTAATTATACTTTTAAAATATCATTTTATGAACAATTTTAACTTTGTCATTAATTCTCCTAAAAAACCGTTAAATGATGTATAGCAAGCAACAAGTATTATAAATTATTTAAGACCAATGATTTTAAAATTAAAAAGCTAAAAATATACTTTTTAAAGTTACAAGATTAAACTGAAACTTTATATAAAATTAAAGGATAAAATATATAATTTAGCTTTTATATATAAGTGTGTGTGTGTCTATTATAGCATTACACATTCTTCTCGTCCTTTCATCACCATAAAAGGAAAAAAGTTCCACCATGCAGCAATGTGATGGGCCTAGGGGGTTGTTGGGCTGAGTTTATCAAAGGAGGGATAAAAAGGGGAACCATCAGACAAGTAGAAGGCACGCCAGCTCATGAGCACAGTGAGCAATGTGGAGCATAATGGCACAATGATCAAAGTAATTAAGGGGTGTAACTAATCGGCAAACACTCTTAGAGCATGTTTGGCACAAAGCATTGAAAATAAAATATAAAGATTAATATTAAGATTAAGAAAACACATTAAATGAGTGTTTAGTATGACAAATTGTTTAATATTTGATATTGAGCAAACTCATGTAGCTGAGATCAAGAGATATCACTTCTGCATGTGGTACTCTCCAATTCCAAGTATATGAAATGTCTAATTCCAATATTAAGTAATCTCTTATATTAAATACTTTTGTTATATCGATTTTTTCAATCACAAACCTAATTTTTACCTTTTATTCTCAGTGATTCATACCAACAAGACTTTAGAGTATTGGAGGGAGCATAAGGGGATGACAGACGAGGCAATTAAGGAGATTAGTGTGTCTGTGAGGAGAGCCTCTGGAAAACCAGAATGAGAGGCTAAAACACTCATATATAAGAGGGAGTTCATGAAACATTTCAAAGGAAAGAAAAAAAGAAACTCATGATACTCATATGATGTAACCCTCCATTCCACACACACAGAAGGGGCCAACTGCGGTACTCCGAAGTCTATTTCATTTCTATAACTTATTTCCACAGGTGGTTTGTCTTGATGGTGAGGAAATGATCTGGTTCTTAGTTTGTATGTTGCCTACTTTTCTGGTCTTATTTATAAGGTAAAGAGAGAAAATATTTTTTGATTCCTATTTATAGAGCATTGAGAGAAATTTTGAATGGATGTACAATTTTACTTCTCATTTATTATTGTGTTGACTTTGTTTTTATGAGATATCACTCTGTTCCTTATTATAGGCCACTTGTACTGTAATATCCTAAATTAATTTTAGGATTTATGTAAAAAATATATAATAATATTATTATATATTTAAAAAAATTCAAAAAAAATATTGATTATATAATAAAATAATAATATTTTAATATATTAAAAAAAAAAGTCACAACTTTCCACCGAATTCGGTGGAAAGTTGAAACGTTGAAAAGGGAAGGAAGAAAATGGGGGGAGAGGAATTTAATGAGGGAAGAAAAAAAATGAAAAGTAGTTGGGGAAATGAAGAATAAGAGAGGAAGAGAGAGCTAAAGTGTGTGAGAGAGAGGAGCATACCGGTGAACCAGAGGGCAAGCTTTGAAGATATTTTAGGTACTAAAATTATTTCTTTTATCAAACTTTCTTTATAAATATTTCCTATATATTTTAAGCTTCCTATTTACATTATTATTGTAGTTATTAGAGAAAATTTTAAGACTTATATATGATCTACGTATTGAGTTTTGACAAAAGATGACTATAGAAATTTAGAAGTGAATGAGTTGTTAATTTTAATCGGTTTAGATTTGTCCATTTGTTAGTTTTTAGTATTTAAATTAGTTTTTCTAGTTGAAAAATCTGGTATATATGATTTATAGTATATTTTACCGATTAATTAATTCAAGTTAAGTAAGTAATTATTTGGGTTGTTGGCAGATTATTAAGATTTTAATCGATTTAGTTTTATTTATTGGGTGACTGGAGGTTTTAAAATAATTATGTAGCTAAAAA